ACAGCCTTTAAACTAAATTTTCAACATTTTCTAAACTGTTTTTAACAAGTTTCAAGCAAAATTTTCTGAACACTATACTGTCTATTCAAAGAGAAAATTCCTCAAAAATATAATTTAAATTTTACTAACGTTCTTGAATAATAGTGCCAGCAACAGCACCAGCTGCCGTCGATAACATTTGGGCACTCATTATGTTAACATTTGTATTATAAACTGCTTGAACAGATCTTTTTATGCGCAACATTTCTCTTACAGTATCTTCATTACCGTGTTTTACTTCAAATTCTTTCCAAATCTCCCAAAATTGTCCATGAACCTAAAAAATATTTCGCATAACCAGGATCTCCCTCTATAAAAATCTAGATGAAATATTTCCGAAAATTTAGATGAATATAAGTTTTTGAATTCAACATCAACTGCGAATACTGCTTACTCGAGGATCGCAAATTTCAGAACAGTGAGCATATATAGCCCTTGCCCGATCAATTTCACCCAGAGTCCGCTCCATTCGTGCAAATCGAATGCTCATTTCCCTAGAAAACGTTTTTTTAACCTTGAGAGGAGATAACTGTGAAGAACACGTTTCAAAATAAAATAACTAAATCAGCAAACCTTGACTGTTCTTCGGGAAGTACTTCTATAGCATGCTCAAATATTGGCCTTGTATGCGTCAAACCATACATGTTCGTTGCTTTTTTGATATAAATGTTAAAAATCTGCAATAGATAAATCCAATTAAATAGCTGAGAAGTTTTATTTTCTCACAATATCAATGAAAAGAGTTTTTTTTTTTAAACTGAAAATTACCTACATGAAATTAACACGAAAAACTCACACTATACATTTCATGCTTTTCAACAGCAGTAGATGCACGATTATAAATATTCATTGCATGTCGCGGTAAACCGTAATCTTCCTCTAATTTTGCATACAACAAATAAAGTTCTGAAAGTCAACTATAATTAAATTTCAAAGATCAATTGAGATTAAAAATTGCAACTCTCTAGATAGAGTATTTATAATAAAATTCCAGTCTTTAACTTATGTCAAATATGGAGGCCAAATTGTTTGTTTGTAGAAGATATAAACACAGTTGACGATATCTGAAAGGTAACACTTCTAAAAAGAACTAAAAATAACCAAATCCAATACTTACTCATAGCAAATTTTGGAGGGCAATTTTCTAAACACTGTTCGAAAAGATCGCGTGCGCGCTCCAACTTTTTGCAACCCTAAATGAGCGATAAAAGTGTTGAAAAATAAAGAACAATATAATCTAGTTATTAATACCAATCAGGTCAGTAAAGTTCATGAAATTGAGCTTTGTAGATTAAATAAACGTACGTATCGTTTTAAAAATTTAACAAGATATACGGTCCAAATTTCATTAACGATTGGCCATTTGAACAGAGCGATACCCTTTTCATAAGCCTGAAAGAACCCACATAACTGTTAACTTAAGAAAACTACTTCTACAATTAATTTTGTTAAAACAGAAATGTCTAGAAGACCAAAAATACGGGCTTAAAAAATTAACCGAAAAGATCAAGATCTACATGATCAAACTTTTTTGTTAAACAGATTAGTTAATAGAAAACTTTGATGCTTACTTTGAATGCTTTTTCAAAATAATTGTTTTCTTCTAAATATTTCGCATAATTGACCACCACTTGTGGAGTAGCGATTCGCAAATCAATGATTCTTTCATAAACTGCTTGACAGCTCTCTAAAGTGCCAAATGCCTCCTCGATATCCGCATATAAGGACCAAATCTATATTATTTTTAATCTTTGAAGCGAAATAAGTGAAAGGATCTGTAAAAGACTTTAGGGATCCAAACCTTGCAATAAATACAATTACAAAAGCTGGAGAGCAGTTACAAATATGGTTAGACATGGTAAAAGCTTTCAGATTAAGGGTTTAATATTTGATACGGAAAGTACTCAAACCTTCAATGATTTATAAACTCGATATTGCACGGGCTCAGTTTCGTCGAAATAGTGCGTTTTTCGTGGAGGTACTGCAGTTGCTCGTTGCATTAACTTCCTAGCATTTTCGGGATATCTGAATTTTAAAAAATATAGAAAGTGTAACAGAGGCAGATATTATTTATTAAAAAAACATTTCCAGTTAAAATGATTTAATAAAAGGTGGTATTTAGCAAACTTACCGATGACGCAATTCAAATTCAACATATTCGCACCAAACTGACGCAAGATCGTCTACTTTTGTGTATTCAGATTTCAACCCCTTTTCAAACGTTAAACGAGCCTGAGAACATGAAAATTATAAATATTCCGGGAACCTTTTTAATGAAACAAACCATACAACTTCAAATTAGAAACCAGAAGAAGAAAAATGCATCAAACATAATACCATGAAAAAACTTTGTTATAAAAAGATATAGTGGCAAAGCATACTTTGTCCAGCATATTCTCATTTTCATAAAACTTTGCGAAAGAAATCCATATGCCTGATAATTTTCCAGTTTGTAACTTCGGTTGTACTGTTCTAACAGCCTCTTCATAGGTCTCGATTTGCTACAAAAATAATTTAAAACATGTCATCCCCAAACATAACGTATTGATATTTCCAATGTACAAAAAAAATTGAGCGAACTAATTTCAAACAAAATTTGTAGCTTGTCTTGTCTCTACCTTCTTCTTATTATTCTCGTACAACTGAACGCGATTCAGCCATTCATATGCATTATGAGGATTTTGACGCAACAAGACACTATTTAAAAGAAGAGGACGACGATCCATCAAGTGTTCAAATCTTAAATTACTATTCTGTGAACTTTGTATATGAAACTGATGATAAATCGAACTCAATAATTTTAATTTATATGAGAAAATTATTTCCAGTATCACAAAAATGAAACTTGAACCAAAATATATAACCAACTGTCACTACTCTTTCGTCACAAATAACACACTATAAAAAATACCAAATGAAATCTGAATCAGATGAAAAGAAATTTAATACCTTGCAAAAAAAAGTTCCAATTCTAACTGCTGTTCATTATCAATTATATAATCTTCACTATCTATTTCATCCATTTTAGAAGCTGTTGCGCGTTCAGCAAATTTTGCATATGCATCAAAAATTTGAGTGAAATCTCTTACGGTCTTGACCGACATCATTGACTCTTCATATACATCACGAGCCTATAAACAAATTATATAAAAATATTCAAGTAAAAGACAGCAGATTTAATAAGTCGTAGGGCTCTAGCTGCATGACGAATTTTTGGACTGTTTAAAAACGAAAATTTTTTGAATTTAAAAACAAATGATTCGAAAAATAAATAAAATACAGTGAGTTAGGCATATAATAAAATTAATACCCGCTCAAAATGTCCACTCCGAATGTAATAATCGGCTAAAGAGCACCAAAGAATTCCAACTTGATCACTATACCTGAAGCATTTTACGCCTTAATTAAGCTGAAGTTGAAAATCACCAGATAGGTGAAATATCCCAACTAGATTCAGAACTAACCTTTGTATGCCTTGACGTATAACTGAATCCACATTTAAAGAATGAATCTTGCTTGGATTCTTTGAAATCAGTTCGCAAAGATCGGTCCACAGCTAAAGAAATAAACATACACTCCCAGTCATTTCGATTTAAGCCAACAATAACACTATATTCTTGTTCGTAATGTTTTAAAAAGAAACTTACTTGGTGAGTTGTTCGACCGTGTTCGGAATATGGTTTATCATCGTTGACAAGAATGGCAAGCTGCTGCGCAGCGTCATCCAATCGATCGATTTTTTGTAAATAATTGACAAAATCTTCACGATGTTTTGGTAGTAATTTTAGATATCTGAAACATATATTTTATATAAAAACAAAATAAATTACAAAAACTCTGACGAAACTTATAATTAAAAACTAGGAAATTACCAGAACTGTGAATGATCGAAACGAAATCAAAAATGCCCCGTACAAAGAGATTAAATAAATAAATATTGATACTGTAAAAAATTATTTAAAAAAGGCCATATTTCATTAGTAAATTCTAGCTTTTTTCGATAAACAATAATAGAGATCTACAACCATATTTACATAACTAAAAATTTTTTTATAATGATTCTTTACATATGAAGAACAACAAATGAGCGATAACCAACCTTCTATAAACTCTAACTGCTGTTTCTGGAATTTCATGGCTTGTAACAAATTTGATATAGAGAGGCCAGATTCGGTCATGCTGAGTAACGGGTAAAGCGCGTAAAGACCGATCGAAAACTCGTCTAGTATAGGTTACAAGACGCTGCTGAGTTAAGAATTCGCAATACTCCATCCATATACGAGGCATCTAAAATGACTAAAGTGACGTCTGAATGTGATGAATTTTGACAAATTAAAGAAAAAAATGAAATAAATTTGAAGTAGCTGATAGTCATTTGATTCATAATCCTGCAATGCTCTTCTAATTATGTTTCAAAAGTAATTTTGAGCTTTCATTTTTTCTACTTTTTGACAACAGGAAAATATAATGAAAATACTTTAACTGAAACGGTATTTTGAAAACAAGGATGCGAAGATATGAATATAATTTGAATAAACCTTATGCATAAAAACAAGTGCTCGCTCATAAACGTTGTTGACATGTACAAATGCTGGATCCGTCGGGCACTTATCTGCAACTTGTTTCCGACGAAAACGAAGATAGTTATACCTTAAATTAAATAATAATTTGCTCCATTCAATAGCTTTAAAGCTGAAAATTGAAATAATGTGGTGAACCAATACTGTTTTGATTAGAATATATGAGTCTTTACTTTTATCAACTTGCTTATAAACAAAAAAATGTCTGAAATAGTCAATCTATATATATGCAAGAAAAAGATCAGAACCATAGTTTGTAGCTTCCTGGAAGTTCTTTCAAAGCTCGCTCATAAACAAGGTTGATTTGTTTTAAAGGAGCTTTACATTTCTTTTTATGATCGATATATCTCATCCAGCTTCGAAGGGAAAATGGATTTTTAAGTATATCTTCTTCAAAACCAATATCTTCCTCTTGCTGAAAATACGCAAAATAAAATTATTTGAATAATTTATGAAGATTATGATATAATTCAGGTAAAATTCGAAAAAAATCTGAGACTGACTATTATCATCGAGGTGACTTTTGCGACATTTTCTGTTCCTTGAATATTCACCGAACTTGATGTTTCAGGAACCTGACGCGTCATAATTCTATAAATAATATTCTCACTTAGATGCATATCACTAAAAGCAAAAACCCATCTTAGTAGTCATAATATAGTTCAGATAGATATAATGATATAAGATTAGTTAGGTCTATCACTTTTTTCATTTGAACAATATAAAAATCCCAACCATAGAATTAAATGATTAGTCAAAAAATTTCTTTCCAACCTCCCCATTCAAAAATCAGCTATGTTTACAGAAAGCAATCCGGTTCACACACGTTTTGCGACCCTTTTCTGGGTTAGGATTCATACTCATCCCTGTCAATCTTTATTTTATATTTTGAGTCTCTCGAGGAGAACAAGGAGAGAATTGTGTTTGTACTCGAGATTGGATGAATAAGAAGAGGAATTCTGGAGATTCATAAATTTTGAAGAAAATATAAATTAAGCTTCTAGATGAAAAAAGTTTTGTTGACTATTTGTAATTCAAATTTTACTTTCAAAATTGTGGCTAACATAGTTGTCAAAATTAGCACTCACAGGTGTTGACTGTATTTATTTGTATAAGAAGAAAGTATTTTAAATGCTATTTGTAAGAGGAAAATATTTTGCTGAAAAATGCGCTTATCAGATATATTGTAAATATTATATAGCTTGTAAGTATGGATGACTTCAAAGGTACTATGCAGTTGGGACGAAAAGTATGATGACTGTCTCGAAAGTAAAAATAAATCAACAGTAATCTGTCGTTGAAATGTAAGTGCCTTCTTTAATGTATTTTTTTATTACTGTCATAATAACACTCATTTATTGATAGCGAATATATATAATACTATAAGATAGTTCATTGAGATATCAATAATTAATAAATATATATGTATGATTTGCTTATTTATATATATGAACGTATTTTAGGAGGTTATACAAAAGCTTTAATCCTTCCAAAGCTATATAATTATCCTTTTCATCCGATGTCTTATAGTTGTAAAATTACACATAAGGAATATTTAAGCTATATGTTCTATAATTTTATCTAAAAAATAAGATATTACAAGACGAAAGACCAATTCATAAGGTATTTTAGTATTCTTCTTGTTTTGAATTATATTTGATAACCAAACAACACAATTCATATTGTAATGTATGAATGTCATAATGTATTTGTGATTAACAATTTCCAAGTCAACCAGTAATCTGTGTAGACTATGCAAATAATATGATTTTACTTGTTATTTTTTATAAATTACTATTGTGTTTTATTTCCATTTTTAGTAATTTTCTGCTGTCAAAGACCATAATTTTTTTTGTTGTTTGTTGTTATTATTATTAGTATTAAATGCTTTTTCATTTAATATCAAAGACAACAGCAACAAATGTTTGCATTAATAATGTACATTTATTACTCAAATGTTTATCGCTTATATATTTATTTCTCGACTGCTTGATATTAATTTGAAACATTTGTCAGTTTTTTAAACCCAACAATTACAAAATATGCAAGTTCAGTACTGACTGTAGAGCTCTGTCCATATCGAAAATCAAAGCTACCAGCCTCGCCATGATAATCAAAAGCCACAGGCCAAATTCCGAATATTTCTCTAAAAAAGGTTGTAATTAACAATTTTAATTGCATTTATTTCTAAGCATAAATACATTATTAACGAATTAAAATAATACCTGAATATTTGTGTACTCTTTTGTGGTACGTAACCTGAACTTTTAAAATAAAAAGCAATAATCTGGTGAGTTCGAAGAAAGGCAATTTCGTTCTGTAATTAATATTATTTTATTACTTAAAAATTAAATTCTTAGTTTTCGTCTTTTTAGAGACTATTTGTGATTAAAATTGGATAGTTTATTATTATATGAGTGCTTTTTTAAAATAGTTATATTTTATGCTATAATTAAATTAGTATTTACCTTAAGTTATCATTATTACTTTCAAAAATGAAGATAATTTGAAAAAACAGTCATATAACCTTCCACTGTAAAAGTTGACATTTCAGATCATCTTCTTGAATAATACCAAATTTATAAGATGTTTCCTCTATACCTTTTCCATGAAAAACAATGAGCGTTGTTTTCGAAGATAAGCGAGAAAAAGCTTGACTTAAATTCAAAAAAGTATATAAGTACATGTCTGTAATACACTTAATTTGTACGCATATTTATCAAAAAATTATTTGCTAGTTTTTGCTTTAAAATGTCAAGGAGTGTATAATTAATAAAGTTGACTCTAAATTATTAGCTGAAAACATACTTCATAATAAAAGGTGCAATTGTTCGTAGAAAAAAGAAGTTCACACAATTTTGTGTGTAGATATGTCTCAAGAAGTGCTTTACATTCATTAGTGAACCATGAAACCCAATTTGAATTATCAAGACTAATTTCACGTCAGACTGGAAATAAACGCATTTTTGATTAACATTCTCAAAACGATTTCAGCATTTGCATATTATAGCAGAATTTTCAATTGACGATGCGATCAGCTGTAAATATTTTTGCAATCAGTATTCAATAATTACAGTATCGGTTAAATTTAAAGTTTTACCTGTGGTATTGGCAAATGAGGTTCAGCATAAGTGTTAGTCCTGAAGCATTTCAATCTCAATCATTGAACAAACATTCAAGATGAATGTACTTGACTGTTTTGGGTTATGAAGATTTGGTATCAAGCTTATAATAGGAATAGCTATCAGAAATTGCAAACTGTTCAGTGCACTGCTTGAATGCTATTAATATTCAAACTACTATAAAATGTAACACTTTTCGATTTAAAGATAAGACAGACCAATATGTTGTGAT